TTAACTTTTCTCTTTGGAGTTCTCACGTATAATATAGTATGATATGATATGATGATAATTCTAACACCTCACAAAAAATTACTAAGCAAAAAGAATACTAATAATAAGCGAGATGGTGGGAATGAAAAGAGGTTAAGATTTCCTATGGTGAGAGAAGAAGTGAGAAAGAGTTGGAAGGAGGCAGAAGGTGGAAGCAGAAAAAGGAGAGCTACTAGTGTAGAGTGGGCAAGCTGCTTTTTTTTTTTTTTNAGAGAAAGAGAGATTGAATTAAAAGATTGAGATTTTTACACATTAAGATTTGGCTAGAATTTGTCATTGAGTTGCCTAAAAGTTCAAAAAATAACCATCTAGGAGTTGTTGTCAAATACCAACCTCCCTCGAGTAGGTTTTAAAATGTAAGGCTATTATTTTTGTTAAAATAATACGGTATAGCCAGTTTTCGGACTGGACATTCAAAAATAGCCAGCGTTTACCAAGTCAATGAAAAATAGTCACTATTTTGCTGCAGCAGAGACCGGTCCAGCATAATATACTGGAGTTCGGTGCACCTGTGAATGAACTCCAGCATACTATGCTGGACCGGTATACTTTGCTGGCTCCAGTATAATATACTGGAGACTGGAGCATCGGTGCTCCAAACTCCAATATATTATGCTGGACCGGTATACTTGCTGGAACTCCAGTATATTATGCTGGAGTTCTAGTGTACTTATGCTGGAACTCCATCATATTATGCTGGAGTTCCAGCATACTTATCTTGGAACTCCAGTATAATATGCTGGAGTTCAAGTATACTTATGCTGGAACTCGAGCATAATATGCTGCGTATTTTCCGGGTTTTGAACAGTGTTTTCGTTCAGATTTATCTTTACATGAAAAGTGGCTAAATATCGATTACTTTTAAAACTGGACTATTTTTGAACGACCAGTTGTAAATGTGTCTATTTTTTAATTTCACCCATTAGTTTTGTGTGTTTGGATGTAAATGGACGGTTTATATATGTAAAAAAAGTTAATTTATTTTGTAAAATGCCTGTGTCATTTGGTGGTTTGTCTGTTTGACACGTACTTGATGTCGCATATAAAGTTTGCTAGACGATGTATTCACAAAGCGTACTTGTGTCAAGTGAAGGTATTTACTTAGTCACTAGTAATATCTTTAAGCCAAAAAAACCCAAAAAAACTAAAAAGTTTAAGTAATTATTATAAAACAATAAAAGAAGAATATTGCAAGAGAGAGAATTCTTATTGCTTTGAGATGAATTATACTGGAATAGGACCCCTCTATTTATAGGGAAAGAGTAACTTCGCCACCAAGTAAAATCCCTAAAATCTCTCTAAAATATAGATATTCACATTAAATACAATTCTATTTATAACACTTCCCCTTGAATGTCTATTCAACAGATAATGTGCCTCGTTAAAACCTTAACTAAAATAAAATCCAGTGGAAAAAAAATCTAAAGAAGGAAAAAGAGTACACATATCTAACAATACGCCTTTTGGTTGTCTCATTAGAAACCTTGCAAGGAAAACCCATTGGGACAAAATCTTGTAAGGAAAAAAGAGTGCAACGCGTATTAACTCCCCCAGATGAGAGCATCAATTCACATCCTTGAGCCTTCGCATTCCAATCTTGTGCACTAGCTTCTTGAAGGTTGACGTTAGCAGAGAGTTAATGAATAAATCAGCCATATTAACTCCAATGAATATGTTGCACCTTGAAAATCTTCGCTATCACATTATCGTGCTTATAGTTATAGCAAGATACATATGTGCACAAATTGCACTTATAATGTAGTACTTCATGACCAAGAATTCTATATGCTTTAAGCAATTTAAATCCTTCAGAGATCGTCAGACTTTAATAAGATGCATATCAAGTTTTCATGTCATGCTAGACAAATAAGATATCGAAAACTGATTACACATACCATTGACTTTATACTTTCAAGTATTTGAACTACATGTTCAAAACTACATATCTTTCATATGAAATCAATTTTATTCGAAATTGTTTCTCCAGACTTAAGATCCTCATATATATTTAGCAATATCATAGATGTCATCGACAAATATTTTATATCAGTTCCAACCTCCCTTTTTCCCACAAAGACATAACATAGAGATCTCTTCATTCATATTTTCAGGTACTTGAATCTCTCCTGAGATTTTATGAGGTGTTATGTCATGTGGTATTCTGATCACTTGCCTCCTTATTATATACGATCATTTTGATCATTTGCTCATCTTCTTTATCAAGAAGTTTTATTTGAAACCGATTTGTCTATACGCTTTAAGCGTACCATAGACTTTGTCCTTCTAGGACTTAATAGGAGCATTTGCAATGAGAATATAGTTACTTTCTTTGGGCCAGCAAATGCTTCTGGCATGCTTTGCAATATATTGCAAATGAATTATCTTTTTTATGAACCTCAAGTTCATATTATCTTATTCGAGGATCTAGATGTACAAATGATAATTCATTCCACGTAACTTTTTCTCAACTGTTATCATGTCTCCCCCTCATGTTAGAAAAACGAACTTACTTCCTCAAATTTGAAAACCCACCTTTGTGCGTTGTGCTGTTAATCAAAATATACACCGACATCAATAATAATAAGATGGAATTATTTGGTTCCTAATCCTGAACCACTTGTGAGTGGAGAATGTAATATACTTTTGTATATAACATATATCAAACTGATATAGATAACTTTGTTCTCATAAGCAATAGTTAGCTATTAAGTGGAGGTACTCAATAAATCATTTTGCTAAACCAACTGTGATGTAAACCAACTTATCAAAATGAACTGTCTTGAATATAAAATCTGAAAATTATGCTCTAAATTAAATTATCGAGCAAGTTACCTCGCAAACATCAGGTTGAAGGTTAATAATAATTGCACATGTAACCATCTTATAGATGCATCTTATGTGGTATACATGACAGGTGAATGAGCCCATATTTACCTTTGATATTTTCAGCATTCATGTGATTCAATCCCAATTTTAGTTAGTCTATTAATTAATGAGAACAAGCAACATAAGAGAATTCATAAAGAACTTTCTAGTTCTTTAATATTTACCCATGTGAATTCTCTTTTATTTTGCACATCATACTTAAATTAACAAGGCTAGTCCAATTATGCCAATTGAATATATTATCAATATTGATAAACTTCAGGTTTACACCATGACGTGTGCAATTATCAATAATCTCTAAGTTTATTATGATATGAGTTTTTATATCAATAAATATTCACTTTATTGTGCTATTCTTTTATTTGTGCAGTACAAACTGAAGAATAAAGCGGGTAACTTTTCACATATATATTACCCCACTACAAGTTGTAGTAACAGAAGATATTAAATCTTTCATTTATTTATAGTCTCAATATAACCAATTGCTTTCGCGAATACTTTAGAAACTCAATTAAGTTTCTTTGAGACTTACTACGGCACAATAAATTGACATGATAATTAATTGTATTCCTCCAAAATAGTAATAATTGGCTATTCTAGAGCTCTCAGTTAATTTGGTACTACCACATATTCATCAACATCCACATGGCGAATATCTATTTTAAAGAAAAAGTTATACCATTATGGTAATGATCAAAATTATATGCAAGATTTGTTTCTTGCATTAGTGTTATCCTTTAATAATCACATTAGCAAAATATTTTAGCTTACAATAGGTACGTGGCCAATGACCATTCAAGCCATAATAATGACATTATTCTTATATCATTTCAAACCTCCTTCTAGAGGTGAGTGTGGTAGATTCACTACCACTAGCACATTCATATTTTTCTAAGAATGAATATGTATTCATAAATCACATGTTGTCACATTCACATCATGAATGGACCATAATCATTTATATGTGCTTTATAAAATCTCATGCCAAATCGGTGACAAACATTACTTTCACAGAGTGAAAGATTATTTTGAGAATCCTTATTATTCTCATTACCACGATGATGACTTTTATAATTTTGTCTATTACCACGTCCACATACATTAAACCTTTACGGTAATAATTTTGTCTTCTTCCAGACTTATTACATATTGCTACCACACTCTATTAAGAGAATGAGAATGGAGCAAATTCAATGGGACGGGTTTCCACTTCTTTGCCCACAATCATACATGAATTTGATAATGGCAAGACAGAGAAATTTTACCACTTCGAGTGGTTATAATTTCTTAGTAACTCCATTAGAGTTATAATCAAAAATCATTATCTTTGCTGGTATTTAAAATCAAATTATAGAATAAAAGAGAAACATACGGTAAAATACTTACCTTAAATCCAGAATTTAATCATGAAGGAAGTTCATGGAACAATTGACAATCATTACGCTCAATCCCAAAGCTTCTACTCAATCGGTTAGAGTCTCGTGCTAATAACGTGTTATAACACAATAAAAGAAGAATGTTGCAAAGAAAGAGAGAGAAAATTCTTATTGCTTTGAGATGAATTACAATTGAATAGGACCCCTCTATTTATAGGAAAAGAATAACTTAACCACCCAGTAAAATCCCTAAAATCTCTCTAAAATATATACATTCGCATTAAATACAATTCTATTTATAACAGTAACATCTCTAATGTGTCTAACTTGATTTTGATGCGAGCTTTTAAGTGTCCATCTCTCTATTTCCTAAAAGGAAAGGGTAAGAAAGAAAGAAACCAACAACACAAAGAGAGGAAAAAAGAGACCACCAAAGGATATGGTACAGTGGATGAGACTGCTCTTCCCTTAATCAGAGGTTTTGGGTTCGAGCCCTGGGTATGGAAAAATTCTTGGTAGGGAGCGCTTTCCCCCGAATGGGACCCTACGTGATGCGAATCTGGATATAATCGGGTTCCAATGGGGCTACCGGACACTGGGCGGGAAACCAAAAAAGAAAAGAAAAAAAGAGACAAAAAAAAAAAAGAAAGGAAAATGATCATCAAAATAATGTCACGTGTACAAGACGAAACCTGCATCTTGTCTTGTAAGGAGGACAGTCGGGGGGCACTTTCAAAGCGGAAAGACAAAGTTAAAGTGCAACGGGAACGAGCAACCATTTTTGTGTGCTCTTGATATTCAGGCTTCAACCCTCTCTCTTGCTCCCTTCCTTTATCTTCAACTTCCCTAAAACAGAATCTCAAATAGGCATTCTGGTATGCTTCTGCTCCCATCTTTCACACTTCAAAAACATTTACATATCTTACTCTCTACAGTTAAATATTTATGCGTGTTTTCCCTTAAACTATCACATATATTGTGTTTTGTGTCTTCGTATATTCTCTTTATAGCAAAGATTCAATTTTTATTCAAGAAACTCCACATTTTTTTTGGCCCAATAAAACTCCCCTTTGCGGAAATCTCCATTTTTAGGTCTTTCGGATTGAGTTCTATTTGTTCCCCTTTTTATGTTTATATGTAGGTTAAGATGGAAAATGAGAACGCAATTCAAAACCCTGCTGCAAATCAGCTGCCAGAAGCAGAATCATTGCCCGATGGTTTTGTTGGTGACAGCTCAAGTACAGACGCATTAGCTCCAAAAACACCACAACCCGAGCAGGAAAAGTTGAGCCATGAGGTGATTGATTATAAGGAAGAAAAGTTAGTCGATCCCGAGTTAAATGCTTATGAAGATAGTGAGAATAGCAAGTGTAGAAGTGCAGAGGCAAATATGGGACAGGATGATCAAGTTAGAGTGAAATGTCACAACTTGGACAACTGTATGTCTCTTTTTTTCTCTGTGAGCTTATATTGGGATTTTTGTTAACTATTAGATATTTATGCCGCATAGATACAAGTGTTACTGTTGGTATATCGGAAACAACCTCTCTACCTTCTCAAGGTAGGCTAAGGCTGTGTATACACTACCCTCCCCACACCCTACTTGTGGGATTACACTGTCACTAGGTTTGTTGTTGTTGTTGTTGTAGATGTAAGTGTTAGTGTATTGGGCTGGGAATTGTTATTTCTATGGTTAAAATTAGATTGTTGCTTATCAGAGTGTAATATAAAGATATTAGCTTCATTGTAGTTTTCATTGTCTTTTTAGAATGGGTCGTTTTAGTCAAATGAATAGTTATGGGGATAAAAATTTCTAGAAATGAGGGAAAAACGTGACTGAGATTGGAAAATTGAATGGAAACATTTAGAAATCTTCGAGCAGTTCAAAAACATTGAAGATGTGACCACTTGATAGACTATTTTACTGTTCCATTTGCTTGATTAAAGAAAATACTGGTGCTTCCAAAGCATGCTATGTCTTCCAGTAATTATCTTGTGAAATCAAATAAAACAACCTTCATATCAGTGTTAGGTTCAGTGTTGAGTACTATATTTCAAAGAGATATCCATTAGAAAGGAGAAGTGACTGATACCATCTTCTTAAATGATGATGTTCCTTACTTCGAGAAATGTCTGATACTATTTTCTGTTTGTGGTGGCTTATCTGAATGAATATAGACTTGCATATACCATAATTTTCAGTTCTTTGCTTCGTGATGTTTCTTGTTACAGCAATGTTGCAGCTAGATTATTTTAAGCTTAAATCAGTCCGCCCTAAGTGTTATTTCTTTTCCTGCAGCTGGAGGAGAGTTGAATCAAAACATTCCAACTGTGAAGGAGATATCATTAACAGAGAGTGCTGAAAACAAAAAAGTAGTCAGTAAACATCAATTTCATTTTCCTTATGTTGTTATTGTGTTTGACTCTATCAATTTCCTGCTTTTTGATCCACTCTAGTCATGGTTCTGTGTAGCGCTATGGTGAACCCTCCACCTCTCAGATTAAATCCTCTGGTTTTCTACCAAGTGAAGTAAAATGGATATTTCTTTCATTTTGGGATGTGTTCCAGGCTGCCACTTCTATCCTATCTTCAATCACCTTTTTGTTAAATTGGTTCCTGCTATGTTAATCATCTTTCCCATATCCCAGCTTAATCTATTCTACGCCCCTTACTTTCCTATCGTACACTATTTCCAATTGTACTTTCTATCCACTCTCCAGTCCCCGCAGGTCCTTTGTTCTTTCTTTCATTTAAGCCATATTGTGCTCCAACTGACTCTTTGAAATCGCGATTTGCTTTACAAAGTAACTTGAGCCCTAGGTTAGGCGATGAGAGGAAAACCCTCTTTCAGGCTGTAAATAAGTGATATGTGTTAAGAGACATGGATAGTAATATTTCAAGATGGTATGCCTTGGTTAAGAGAAGAAGAAATTTGATGAGTAGAATGATGATGGATAGGGCGAGCTTACAGGAAGTATGTAGAATCTTCTGCTGGTCCTCTGAAGGAACATGGAAGATTCATAGGATATGGAAAATGGAAAATCAAATATCCTCTTATAATGTCATTTCAATGGATTGAAGATATCTGAAGATTGTGGTTGTGAAAGGAGTGAGAAAGTCTTCTATCATCATCCTAGGATATATGTTGATAAGAGGTGAGAAGAATTTGCAATAAGATTACAAAAATCGGAAGAAAGGAAACTAATTAGTGAGAGGAAAATGGGCAACGAGGAAATGGGAGCTATGCTCGGGTTTTAGAGATTAAAAGATGGTTGACAGAAGTCAAACTCAAAGGGTGTGAACCGCAAAGTGTACTGTTGCATCACAATTGTGGAGGGAAGTCTTAAATCACCATGATTATTTGAGAAGATGCCTGAAGGAGAGGTTCAGTGAAATTACATCAGATATACCTTTTTCTTTTCTTTTTTGATGACCTTCTTTGCATATTATTACCTATTATTGCTTCTGGTTCGTTTTGTTTAAATCTCACTATTGCTTATGGTTCCGCCCCATAACTTTTTCATTTTTATATATTGCATTTATTTACTGGTGATTACTGTGCTTACCCGAGCCGGGGGTCTTTCTGAAACAACCTCTCTACCTGCACAAGGTAGGGGTAAGGTTTGCGTACATACTATACTCCCCAGACCCCACTATTAGGAATATACTGAGTATGTTGTTGTTGTTGTTTTTGATGACCAAGTAAAACAAAGAGTTTCTTTCTGCCTTTACTGAAGTGATGATAATTTAGAAACTCTAGCAAAGAAGAAGGGCCTTAGTCCAAGAACACCACTCTAGTTGAAACCCTCTGCTTCTTCAGTATCCACCTTTAAATCCATCTGGGGCCATTTCACCCTTAAAAAACCAACTGCAGCCTTCGAAACTCGGTGATAACGGGTCCGTCGCTCTATCCTTTTTCACTTAAATACCATGCTTAGTTCGCATGACGCAGGAATCGAACCTGTGACCTAAGTCACAAGTTCCTCAACCTTTTTCACTTGAACTAAGCCTTGAGGGCTTACATCAAGCATACCTACATGCCCAGAAATTTAAAGGTGGATACTAAAGAAGCAGAGGGTTTCAACTAGAGTGGTGTTCTTGGACCAAGGTCCTTCTTCTTTGCTAGAGTTTCTAAATTATCATCACTTCAGTAAAGGCAGAAAGAAACTCTTTGTTTTACTTGTTGAAATCTCAAAGAGATTGCTTTGACAAATCTTTTTGTGTGAGGGCGCTGCTTGCCCCCTTACTTACCTTGTTTTTTGGGCTTAAACTCTTATGAATCATATACCCTCCAAGTCTAAAAATAAATAACGTTAAAAAGGTAGGTTTTGCAGTTAACTAGGAAGGGAATCAGTTTTTAAGGAGAGGAAAGGAAGAAAGGGCCATGAAACAGAGAGGATAGATATGAATTGAAATAAAGATCACATTTATACTATATTCAACTAATTATATATGTATCGGCGTTATGATACAAACCACGTTTTTGGAAGAAAAAAAAAAGAGATTGCGTCCTAACAAATCTAAACACGTCGGTTTTACTGCAACAACAACAACAACAACAACAAAAACAAACCCAGTATAATCCCAGTATAATTCCGAAGCTATCACTATTGTTGAAAATACTAGTCTGACAATGACAAAAATAGAGGGAAGGTTCAGCTTTGTCATAGGAGTACCTCCACCTTAGCAGTTACCATCATTATGGTTTACGTGCTTCAATGCCACCAACTCTCTGAGATGGTCTTAAAATGAACTGCAAAATTCCTCCTCTATTACTAAGATTCACCCTACAAGTCATTTGGCTGGCAAGCTAGCTTCCCCTAGGTGCTTCTTTTCTGCTTTTCCTTTACATTTTCCCCCATTACTAGCAAAACTGTGTTTATATGGTTTTTTCCTTTCTTGCTATCAAATTTTTGGATTTTGTTTCTTATACCAAGTTATATGGAGGTTCCCTTCTTTTCCGAAAATTTTGTAACTTCACTCTTTTGGTTATATTCATGTATTAGGAAGCCTCTGAAACCAAACGGAAGACTGTAAAACGTACCTTTAAATCTGAAAAAGAGTTTCTGGAGTTCACTTTGAAGTATCAGCAAGTTCTTGCAGAAAGAGATTCAGGTGCTTTGTTATATTCCTAATTTTGCTATTTTTTCATAGTCGGGCTTCCTTCTTTTCAGAATTTGTTTTCCCTATTTCCTCTGAACATGGATTAAGTATATTTCTTTCACGAGCGATGATAAATTGTTGGATTTGACGTCATACAACTACTTGATATATGCTATGCAAATGCACCCACCATTATTTGACATAGTCTATGAAGTGCAAGTATTACTATGCAGAAATATAATCTGTTAGGTTAAAAGCTTTTCCTATTTTGCAATTTAAACAGAAATCCATTTTATGTTATTTTTTAAGTTTCACATTTTCATTGTCCATTCATTTGGGAGAACTTGTTTGGTGATCTACAGCGGATGTATTTTTAAAGGATATGTACCTTGTCGGAGGCAAAGCCATCCGACCAATTGGCATAAAAACTACTCACTTCTTTCTTTCGTTTAATTCAGCTGTTGCTGTTCGGGATAAACTGGAGTCACTATGCCGCGAGTTGCAGCGCCAAAACAAAGTTTTAATGGTAAGATCTGTCGCATACCTAATGTAGGTTCTGTTTATTTTTAGGCGAGGAGTATGCACCAAAATCTCACTTCCAGACTTAGGACAAGAAGAATCTCTTTCTCAGTGACTATACACCATATGTATGGTGGATCTTAGGTCTGGTAGTTTAGTAAGTGCCAAGAGTATGGAAGACTTGCTCTTTTACATAACATATAAAATTCCTTTGGCACATACAACAACAGTATTCCATCTTCTTGAAATCTGTTATCTTTTGCTCCTTAATGACTAGCTTTCTGGAAGCTCCAAGTCCAAAGAGATTTCGGACTTGTAAGTTGTAACAGTGGATACTGATAAGTAGTATATAACCCAAGGTCACTGCTTTGCCGAATTAGATTGAGTTTCTAAATATAGTATTGCAGGGTTAGTGTCGTTGATGGTGGTCTGTCTTGTCATTAACCAGATAGTGACCGTGATTTTCATTGAACAGCACACTTAGAGCACTTATATCTCTAGCCGACAGTCATTTAAATCATTATCTTTTAATTAGATGACATCAGAGATGTCCATTTTCTTTTTTCAATTTTTTTTTCAAAGTTGGTCACTGGTTTTTTGATTTCCAGTTGTCGAGATCGTTATCATTTACATTTTGGTGTTCTTAAATGGTCATTAAAAATTCCTTTTTGCATAAGAATGGCCTTCTTCTCAATTTTATATTATGGTGGATAAAATCTGTGTTAAGTAGGGTTGCAGTTGTTTACTCGTGCCATTTATTCTTGGCTTTTCATGGGTTTGCTTATTGGTTGTTTCTATGTTTCAATGTGATGTCTCCTACTTTACTTGTCAGGCAGGTTCTAAATTGACTCTTTACACACAGCTTAGATATAGGTAACCAAGTAATAATAACTTTCTGTGAGTCTCCAGTGTATGTTATTTTTTGTTTTGGCCTTAATTACAGGTAGGTTTCTATGGCTTAATATTGCCTTTTTTCTGTAATTTGCAGGATGAATGCAAACGGGTATCGACTGAGGGTCAAAATCTGAGGCTGGATTTATCGAACAGGTTTCAAGATGCAATTAAGGTCTGAATATTTACTGTTCTGAGAAGGCCTATCTTCTGAAGATTTGGCAAGTTTTTTGTAGACGTGCTCTTTGCTTTCAAGTAGACTCTGGTCATTTACTCTTAGCCTTATCCCATGCATCATATTACTCTAAGAAATTTGTGAAAATAAAGAAAATGTGAGTAAATTTTGTATGTGTAAGGACTTTACTAGAAAAACTCATGGTAAAATGTTGAAAAAGGCCTTGTCTTTTATCTACCATCTTAATAGGCAATTTTCTCTCCTTCTCAAAAAAAAAATAGGCAATTTTCTCTAACTTTCTGTTGTTTGCCTGTTGGTAGGACTTCTGTTACAGAGTCTTCCTGTATTGTATGATGAAGGTTCTATAGTTATGCTTGTCACATATCTCCATTTCTATTGTGCTTCATCTGCCTCCAGCAGGCTTAACTACTAGGTACCATCTTAATTTTTGTTACCTGTGAAGAAGATAATTATGATAGGCTGAAAAAGCCAACTAGATCTTTGACATAAAGTCAAAAATTCTTGCAGAATTTCATATGTTGCCTCTTACAGCGTATCTCTAAGTGGAATAGATGCAGATATAGATACAAATAGAGTAGTTATGTTAGACACGTCTCTGGACATGCAGACATGAATTTTCCAAAACTATGTGGACATTACGAATTGGACACATTTACCTGAGCCAAGAATAGATAATGCAAAAGATAATTATAATAACCAAAAACACATATTCCAGAAACCATCAGTACCAATAAATTATCCAAAAAAAATGTCAGATATCAAATGTCAACATCACACCACCCAAGGCAACATAACATCAAACACAACATTTCAGCAATCCGCATTTTTATTTGATATTACATAAAAGATCATATAGCAAAAATATTAGAAAAGTTGAATAATAAAGATTTCACCTATACTCCCCGGAGTTTTAAGCCAGTGCACTAACTGGAGTTGGGCTAGAAAACCCACAAGGGATTTCTCCAATATAAACAAAAAAAAGAAAAGAAAAGGGAAAAGTGTCACCCACTCATGTAGAAGCAGACCGTGAAGAAGAAGAGGAGGAGTAAGAGGAAGAAGAAGCAGAAAATAAAAGGTGTTGGCACTTTGGGCTCTGGAAGCAGAATGTGAAGGAGGGAGGAAGGGAGAAAAAGAAAAGGGAAACAGCCCTCTCTTACCCCCCTGGGTTATGAATTAGGTGCAGTACATCTGCACCATTGGCTATCATTGCCATTAGCAACCACATCTGTAATCACAGCAGCAGGCCTTTCCTGATCTCCTTTCCACTTGTCCTAACAAAACAGTTAAATTATGTGAGAATGCACGGGAGAAAAATCTATTTTTTTTAACAATGATACAATGAGCCCTATCTATAATACATATTCTACTCTTACATGTGGGACCAGGACATATTCTACTCCTACTACATATGGGACTAGGACTATTTACACATAACTATCTAACACTCCCTCTCAAGCCGGTGCTTACAAATCATATGTACCGAGCTTGTTACATATGTAACTAATATGGGGATCACTGAGCCTGAGGGACTTGGTGAAAATATCTGCAAGCTGATCATTCGACATATAAGGCCACTAGACTTCCCCTGAGCAACAAAATCAGGTGGTTGCTGATAAACAGAAGTTGGCCGAAAGGTCGGCTGACTTTTTCGAACAAGATGGTAGTGTTGGTTTTCGCACAACACTTACCGATGAGGAGATAACACAAATCAATCTTGAGTTGTCAACCGGAAAGACGCACAGTGACTGACTTTTCTGTCCGATGGGATTGGAATTTGTGGGGTTTGGTCGCACAAGGGTTTCGGGTCTGATGGTGGTACTGGTATATGCACAGTACCACTGTAGCAGTGATGAACCCTGGGAACAAGACGAAGTTGCCGGAAATTGCACGGCGTTGAGATCTCTTTTCCCGGAGTCGCTGGAATGACGCACAACGATAATTTTCTCACTGAATCTCTGATACCATGTGAGAATGCATGGGAGATTTTTTTTTTTTAACAATGATACGATGAGCTTATATATAATACATATTCTACTCCTACATGTGGGACTAAGACATATTCTACTCCTACTACATATGAGACTAGGACTATTTACACATAACTATCTAACAAATTCAATTGGCAAAATTGTTTATAACTTTATCTTTACTTCTATGTTTTCTTCCCGTCACGCTAAGGCATCAAATATTGTACTTTTTGAATCTGGCACAAAATGTCCCTTTTATATCAAAATGTGGCACCTGATCCAATAAATTAACAAACATATCAGATGCATGTGAGCTCCCTCCGAGTACCATACTCCAATTCGTTACTTAGCATTTGCTGTGCGTGCTTCCTAGCATGTATTCGACATGTTTCCATGTTCTCATAGTGGTTACACTAGCTTGATGAGTGCCCGTGGCCCCAGAGTGTGACTCCATTACAGTAATCTAGCAGAATCTCTCTTTAACGCTGGTATTCTCCATGTGAAATTGGACTTGCTGCCTGACTATGCAGGTGCATCAAGGAAACCATTTTGTCAAAGTATTTAGGCTGGTAAAAAAAATTCATTTAGCATCATCTGTGCAATCATCTGAATTTTGGTTATCTTTGTTGAGAGAGCCTCACTCTCTTCTGTATTCTATTTTTATCTTCCTTCTTGTTATGTTGTAATGCATTCCGCCAATGTCTTGTATTATCTATTCCTCCGTGAATAAACAAACTTTTTTTTCTTTACTAACCCCATGCCTCCACCTGTACATCCAACCTAAAACGAAAAGGAAAAAGAAGAGAACAAAGAAGATAAAGATAAAGGTTGTTAGCTCACTTCAATAAACAAGGATTGGCCTTTGTGGGGTCAGGGTGGCTTTGGAAACTATACATATCTTGAAACTAGAATTCCAAAGTATGTTTGTTTTCGCCTCAAAGAATTGGTCAACTTGAATTGTATCTTAACAGTTTCCTTCTTCGTTTTCCTCCTCATGTAGGAAGTTAGCAACAAGCTGGAAGAGCAAAAAGATGAATGTCTATTGCAGTTGAAGGAGAATGAGATGTAAGATTACCGTGTTTATTTATCATATGTTAGTAGCCTTTCAATGCCATGTTTTTGGTTATATCTGTCAATGATATATATGGGGCACACTTATGAAAATAATGATGTAGACCAAAACATATGGCTTGACATGGACAGGGATTTAGAGTAGTATTAGATTGTAGATGGTGTGACCACAAAGGGAATAGGAGGGGTGGTCATTAAGGGAATTTTTGGGTGGCATTTAATTAATTTCGGTGGTCTTATTTAATGGGATTGGAAGATGGCCATATTTAGAATTCAAAACTTAAAATTTATATAAAAAAAGGCTATAAAGTTAGTGGGCGTCTATGTAAGGTTTGAGAGTTTTTGGCAGAAAACATCCCTTATCTATACCTTAAACTTAAACTACATCCTTAGACTATTACATTGAACAAAGAACATCCTCCAAGTAATCAAAGCTTGACAAAAAACATCATTCCGTTAGGGCTCTGTTTAAAAGTTAACAGAGGTACCCATCACGTGCAACTCACGTGAGTTGCACATTTACAATTATCTTCTCTCTTCCCTAAGAAACGAAGATATGATGAGCTTTCCCGTGAACAAAAACATCTACAGGACTACAATGGCGTTAGAAGGCAAAGAATTAATATATGGAGTAATAATTTTTGTCCAATATTATACAATAAATGCTGCATTTTATTTTATTCTAATTTCATCTCAACCTTGCTAAGTTCTCCACTATACCACAAATAGTTGAGCAATTTGTAGCCTGCAGGTCACCATTTCGCAGATGCCATGATTAAAAGTTATGAATTTTTCCTAGAACGTCAAAAGATTTTTATTCCTCTTTCAAACAATACACTATATAGAAATTATATTTTGTTAGTGAACCATGTACATAACCGATGAGAGACAAATTAAGAGCATGTTCGGCCAAGCTTCTAGGAGGCCAAAAATACTTTTTACTCCCAAATGTGGGTCTTGTATCTACCTCAAAAACGAAGATCGATTTAAAGAATGCTCAAATTAAGACTTTTGAAAAATCTAAGAAAATTCAGGAAAAAACCAAGCCAACTCAATAATAAGAATCTATGCCAATAATTGAACGAGGTTTAGCGAAAACCCACAACAGTTCATCCCTCAAACCACTGAAGAAGCACAGTAAAATCACTGGGTGATCTTAGTCCTGTTTGTTCGTTGTTTTCTACTTTGTATGTGGAGGTTATTATTCAAGGTTTGAGTGAGTTTGGTGTTTTTAATTTTGTTATTTCAATTGCTCACATACAAATGTTGATAACTCGGAATACTTGTTCAGAAAAGAGCTAGTTTCTTTGTTTCTTCCAGCTTTTGTTTGTTCTCTCAAGAAAATAGAGAAGACAATGTGGGTCTCTGATTTGGAGAACTTTAATGGCAAGTCGCAGGAGTTGCACATGTTGGTCTGTTAATTTTTTAACTGGCACCTAACGGGGAGATGAATCTTGTTAATTATTGGATACTTGGAGGATGTTTTTTGTCAATGTCGTAGTTTAAGGATGTAGTGCAGATTTGGAATATAGTTTAAGGATGTTTTTGGCCATAAACTCTAAGGTTTGAGGGTGGAGTATGGCACTGAGGGTAAATGGAATGGTTTAAAGATGGGATTGATGGCACTGATTGGAGGGATAGGACTGCCGTGGGAGGGAGGATCTCTGGATTAACCAGGTTCATCTTCCACCGCCAGACGAGGGTCAATAAATCCACCTCTAAATTTCTAGCTTGTTAACTAACCCAAAGAAGTAACAAACAACAAATCGCCGTGATTTCCGAATCACCTATTATACCAAAAATGGCATGTAAAAGCATCACTGATATTTAAATGCTATGATTTGTGAGCAGTGTTTTGGAGAGCGCGAAGCGCAAAAAAGCGACAAGGGCTCGCTTCGCTTCAAACGCGAAGCGCAAAGCGAAGCGCACGCTTTATTAAAGTGAAGCGCAATTCTTAAAAAACATAAAGTAAATTTATAAATAATCAAAAACTTCAATTTAAATACTTAAAAGTAGGTACTAGGTACCACCAAATCATCCACAAACCATAGGACAAGCAAAATCAAAGCTACTAAATTACTAGAATCAACATTTTAATATCCCTATTAAGATATAAGAAAAAACATAATCAATAAACTGAAAATACATATAATATATATAATAATTAATTATACAAACTGAATTATACATTTAAAAAATCACATAAACTGAAAATATAACATATATAATAATTAATTTTAATTACTGAAATATACACTAAAAAATCAAATAAACTGAAAAATATAAAATATATAAATTATAAATAATGAAAGAAAGAAGTAAAAAAGAGAAACAAAACTCAGAAGAAGAAAGAAGAAGGACGAAAGAAGACAGAACTCCAGCCCAGTGAGTCAGTGACGAAAAAAATGAGAAGAAGAAAGAAAGAAAGAAAGAAGAAAAAAAATGAGAAGAAGAAAGGAAAAGAAAATTTACCTGGACTGGTCAACTGGAGCTGTGGACTGGTGCTGGTCTGTTGCGATGAAGAAGAGAAAAGAAAGCAGAAACTTTCTGTCCCAAAACCCTAATTTTTCGATGAAGAAGAGAGAAAATCGCAGCAATTGTGTTCTGTTATGTCACGCAGCATTAGGGGTTTGTTTTGTATAAAATTAAAAACAGACCCAATCTTTTTTTCTAAAAAAAAATAGGCCCAGATGCGATTTTTCTTCAAAAGCGATCGCTTCGTCACTTCGCTCGCCTCGTCGCTTTTTTCTCCGAAGCGTGCGCTTCAGCTGTTCGCGTCGCCTTAGGCACAGAAAAGCGATACTCTATCGCTTCGCGTTGCTTCGCTCTTTAAGCGACGAAGCGTGCGCTTTTTCAAACACTGGGCGGGGCGGGTTGAAATGTTGCGGGTTAAGAGAGAACCCGCCCGCACCGCACCGCTTGCCATCCCTGCGATACTTCTCATTAGAGATCAATACAAAAAGAGATTGTTAACAAACCTTCTTACGCTTTCCACTAGGATCCGTCCATGAACCTGAGGGTTTAATATTACCAGCTCCATTGAATTCAGTCCTATATAGAAGAAACAAGAATCAAGAGAGCATCAGCATTGAGCATTCTCCTATGTCACTTTCACATTTATAATGTCTTTATTCCATTCAAAACATAAATGCCTCAATTTTAGATGTGCCGCAGGAAAGAAATGGGGATAGGGGAAGGTGTTGCTAATGTGCATGCTGCAGAGCTATCTTGCGTATTAAGCATGTGCGGAGCCTTTAAAAGTGTAAACACAATTGCAACTAAGACACCCAATTCATTAAAGATTATGCTACTTCAGGTAGATAAAGAAATAAATAGTAGCTTGAGTGCACTNTGTAAATAAGTAAACAAACAACAACAACAACCTAGTAAAATCTCACAAGTGGGGTCTGGGGAGGGTAGAGTGTACACAGACCTTACCCCTACCCCGGAGCAATGTTGTCAAAGCCTCAAAGGCTCATTTAAAGCGCGCTTAAGCCCTGAAGCTCAGAAAAGCTCAAGGAGGGTGCTTCGCGTCGCTTAAGCTGCGCTTCAGTGTAGGTAAGCCATTAGGGTGTGCGCCTCAATGCGCATGAGTTCTATCTTGAACTGAGCGGTACTAAACAACAAATATTATCAGCACATAAGTGTATTAGTTGCTGAAGAAAACATTAGGAGTGAATTTGTTTCTTTTTTCTTGAAGTACATATGTATTTTTATTTTTATCCTTAGTTGCGCCTTTTTTTACAAAAGCCCGCACTTCAGTTGTGCTTTGCGCTTAAAACCCCAATCGACCTGGAGCGCTTTTTAGATCTTTTCGCTTTTGACAACACTGACCCGGAGGGGCAAAGAGGTTGTTTCCGAAAGACCCTCAGCTCAAGAAGAAGAAAATAAACAATAAACAATAAATAATAGACAACAGATCAATGACAGCAACAAAAGCCAGAAAAATAATATCAGCATCGTAAGAAATAGAAAATAAATGTAAAAACAATAACAATAACCAGTAATAATGCCATAGAAAATAGTGTGGAAACTACATAAACCACTAACAACCCAAGGCGAAACAATATCAGCCTAGCCCCGCCCCCAGAACAACGTAGAAAAACGCTCGACTCCCTCCTAACCTACAACTTTAATGCTCGACCTCCACATTCAAAGCTCTTGTTTAAGGAGTCTCATTATATTGAGTTTCATCATTAAGAGCATACGGTTTTCTCTTGTGTCTGCTTTTGCCCCCTCTACATAACTTGTTTTCTTGTAGTTCAACGTTGAAGCTCTTTAAGCTGCTGCAACTTGAACGTGATACACTTCAATGGGTTTCTGATAGTCTTTTCATGCAAGGGAGAGGATGAGTTAAAAGAAGCAATAGTGGAGTTTTACACTCAATTATACAATGAAGAGGAGGTGTGGGTACCAATGCTAGTAGGTGTGAAAATCCTTTTTGGGTGGGGGGTGGGGGTGGGGGTGGGGGTGGGAGATAAGAGTGTGTTGGAGAGAGATATGGTGGAGGAGGTAAGGGAAGCAGTAAAAGTTGTGCAGGGATAAAGTGCCAAGGTCAGATGACTTCACAGTGACTTTCTTTTGGTGATGCTACGACACGGTTAAAGGTGAGATCCCCGAGACAACAGCCATTCGAGGAGTCCAAGGAATTTGAAAGTGTCTCAATGCATCCTCTTTTGAACTTGTACCAAGCAAAGAGGGAGCAACAAGCGGTAAAGATTACAAACTTATTAGTGCAGTCTGCAGTGGGAAGTATCTAAAAGAGAATCTCTAAGGTGCTTTCCGATATTTTAACCAAAAAAAGTGCTAGATGAGACTGTCAAATTCTCAGAAGGTGTTCATACAAGGTAGACATATTCTGAGCGCAGCACTGCTAGCCTAATGAGGTAGTGTATTCTAGAAAAATAGGGGAAAGGGGGAAAATCTCAACAAATTGGAACCTAAATTGAATCATGCCAAGGACAACAAAGGGTCTTCTTTTTTAGTGGAGTGGGATAAGATTTGGGAAGGTTAAGAAAAGATTGTGGGGGACCATGCTTGCCAGTATACATGGTGGACCATATAGGAAAAAGATCAGAGATGTCCCGAAAGCAAGAAGGAGGGCATCCACAAACTAAAAACTAGTCGTCTCCCTCTTTTGTGTTTATAGTGCAATATGAACATATATATGGTGCAGATAGTTTAATGGATTTCCTCAGCTACCTCACTGATTATCATATATTATCATATAAATGAGTTTTGAAATTGTTCCTGAAGTGTCCTCACAGCTCAAATTTAGTAGTATTTTGATCAATAATACCTTTTTCTTACATTCTCAAAAATAGAAAGTTCATAGCCACTTGAATTGAGATTTTCTCGATTTTGTAATTATGAAGACGGGGTACGAAGAAAGGTGGAGAATAGAAAATAAAGTTATGCACATTGACAGTGAAATTGTCTATTCTAGTAAATGGGAGCACGTGCATTGTTTGGGAAAATGTTAAGAGGATTGAGATAAGGTGATTCGTCATCTCTAAGGGTATTTATTCTAGTAACGGAAGCGTTGAGTAGATTGATGAATAAATTTGTAGCAAGAGGTCTTTTGAACTGGTTCAGCCAATCAAGGGGGCAGGATAGTATCAGAGTATCACACCTTTTGTTAGCAGACGATATCCGCATGTTATGTGATATTACAACAACACAACAAACTCAGTCTAATCCCACAAGTGGGGTCTGGGGAGAGTAGTGTGTACGCAGACCTTAGCCCGACCTGATAAAGGTAGAGAGGTTGTTTCTGGTAGACCCTCGGTTCAACAAAAGGTGAAGAAAAGAAAGGAGGACGAAGAATCTAGGAATGAAATCCAAAGGTTTCACGGCAAAGGTAGAGAGGTTGTTTCACGGCAAAGGTTTCTTTTTCTTAAAAAGAATGACAGTTCTGTCATGCACTGGCTTCTTTAGTGTAATGAACTTTTTGTCAAAAGAAGCGCTTTTATCCTGCTTTGTTCCTATGTATTCCATCGCCACCCTCTTTTTGGACTGGTGTGTGATGTTTTCTAGCAAGAATTCTGCTGTTAATTGGGGTTAGTTGTGGAAATCCACAAATTTTGTGAATTGTTTGAGTTGAAAATGGCGGTCAATTTAGTTTTTAAATTGAACTGTTTAAGCTCAAAGGATTAGCCTTTTGAATACTTCTATTATCTTTCAATAACTGCAGGTTAAAGAGCAAGCTGAAGCAACTTGCAGATCAGTATACTCTCTCAGAACAGCAATTTGCAAACAAGGTGATTCACATGTGCTCTTATTTATTTCTAATTTCCTAGTATTATTGATTTCATAAAACATCTTTGCAGATGTTAATGTTTTTTCTTCGCACCTTTTTTCTTGTTGAATAAAGGTCTGATGAATATCTTTCTCTTTGCAGTTGAAGCAAAAGAATCTTGAACTTCAGCTTGCTGATTTGAAAACTAAGCAACATGAGGAGAAATTAAAGCAGGAACAGTCCCAAATGAAAATATATGCTGACCAAGTGTCACAATTACTAGCAACAGAGAAGAACTTGCGGTTGCAATTGACAGCCGATGGAGAAAAGTTCCAGCAATTCCAGGTTAGTCTGTTAGTCTTACAATAATATGACTTGTGTCAAACTGAAGTCGCTCCACCAAACATATCCAGTAAGATGTCTAACAGTTGTGAGATCAAATGCAGGAAGACTGTGATTACTTGTGGTATTGGTTTGCAGTTTCTGTTGGTATAGGCATTCTTTTGGACAATTTGTATTGGCTGTCATGCCTCAAAGTATTTGATTTCCTTTAAAAAAGGTTTTTGATTAGGCGAATGACCAACATATCTTTGGTTATATTGAAGTATTGATTAGATCATTAGCTTTAGATATTGATCTTGGTGAACAGTATATGTGACAAAAATTTGATTAAGTTACAAGAAATTTGAAGGTATCTAGTTTTTCCAAGTTATATTACCTTTCAACTCGAAATCCTTTTTGGAAAAGAGCTGCTATGATATCAGAGAACTGCACGTGTTATAGCCTGTTTGGCCAAGCTTCTTTTGAGGCAAAAGCACTTTTTTAGCCAAAAGTACTTCTTTTTCTAGAATTAAGGTGTTTGGCCAAGCTTTTGAAAAGAAAAAAAGTGCTTTTGAGGAGAAGCAGAAGCAGTTTTGGAGAAGCAGAAAAAAGTAGCTTCTCTCCAAAAGCACTTTTCTGAAAAGCACTTTTGAGATAAATACACTTAGAAGCAGTTTTTTAAAGCTTGGCCAAACACTAATTGCTGCTCAGAAGTGCTTTCAAATTAATTAGCCAAACACAAACTGCTTCTCACCAAAAGTACTTTTGAGAAAAACACTTCTCAATATAAGCTGATTTTTGCAGCTTGGCCAAACGGGCTATTAGTGAATACCACTTCTGCCGATATTTGGGTCAAAGAAGTGTTCCTTTATGTTTTCTGATGTATTGGGTGGGAAGTATCAGGGATATGGCTCCCTTTGTTTTGTTGGAGTTGCAAGTTTAAGGTTCTTAGGTAGCTTTCACTTCCTTGGGTCTTTTTCCTTTCTATTTTTTTAATATTATCTGTCCTATTTGTTGGGAAGTCTTCCTTTTTTTTATCTGTTCGAAAAAGATCAGTACCCTCCTTTACTTGCAAACGAGATAATTTTTACATTCCCTTTGCGATTGACATGGCTTGTTGTTATTGGGATCTGTTTTTGTTCTTTTCTATCAAGCTTTTTAGAAACCTTTTTAGAGGAGTTGAAATGCACGAAAGGTAGAAAACTTATCTGATTTGATAATATTTTATATTGACAAGAAAATAATAGAATTTTTTTGAACTGAATGCCTTCTTGACTTCTGGGAGCCAATTGATTCATAGGGGTGAGATAAACCTGAGAAGGATTGTTTTTGCCGGTCTCCACGTTCATCTTGAACTTGAAGTGCTTAAACAAGGTTAAATGGTGGTGCTATAGGCTGTGCCTTTGCCACAGACCTCAAGGATCTCCATGTTGTCCCTGTCTCATCCCTATGCCTTCCTCTCTGCTAAACTTTTTACTATAGGATTTGTTAATGGGTTTTTACTCTTCTCTCACGTAACTGTGCAGCTAATTAATGGATGTTGTGGGTCTGAGATGGCTTAGCATGGGTTGAAAGCAGTGGAAGGGTTCTGTCTAGGTTGCCATATGACCGTAATCTGCTGTCCATCCTATGAACTGATGAAATACCAAAGCAAAAGGAAGTAGAATCTAGGAATGAAATCCAACCTTTGGAATGAAAACTAGTTGCCCTGTTGTTTAAACATAGTTTTAGAGCAATATAATATGCACTTCCCTAGTGCTTGATAAAGCAAGTTTCCTTATAGGTATATGTCTTATTCAAGTGAACTGCAGTTTGTGCTTCTTAGAGGTATCAAATTATAGGACAAACCAATTGTTCAAATGGAAAGGATTATGTTTCTATATTTAGCTGCTTATAGTGTTTGTGTCATGAAAAGTTGGAAAATGAAACATTATAAAAACTTATTTGTTCTACTCTTGCAGGAAGCTTTGCTGAAGAGCAATGAGGTTTTTGAAACGTTCAAGCAAGATATTGAGAAGGTTTTACTTCCATTTTTCTCTTCAACTTGATTTCAATTTCCCAGTCCATACTCCGTCCTGATTAGGGGTGTCAAATGGACGGGTTGGGCTAATTTTGGGCGGGTCAAATGGGCCGAGTCATTGACCCGCCCAAAAGTAACAAATGGACTGGGTCAAGTTGGCTAAAATTTGGGTCATAACCCAACCCGCCCAACTCTTACCAAGCTTTAATTAATGTGTATTGTTCTCTTATAAATTGTTTAATAATTGAAAAAGACTCTTTTTTCTTTTGTTATGGTCATATATAATATATCAAACAAAAAAAAGTTATTTTGAAGATATTTTAACAAAGTTACTCATGGATCAATTTTGGCTAAAAATCAGCCCAACTTTAAATGGGCTGAAATATGTTGGTTCAAGATAGGCTGAGTTCAACAAATGGGCGGGTTAATGACCAGCCCAACCTTGGGCGGGTTAAATCGGTTTGGGCTCAAATTGCCACCCCTAGTCCTGATAAACTAGATATAGTTTAGCTTGCACAGTTAGAATAGTTTTTGAGTAGATTATTATTCAAATTCGGTAGTAAGGTGATTAAAATATTGGTTAGAAATGAAAAGGGGGAATCGTCAGGCAAGATGTAAAACCAAAGTTGAAATTATGTAAAGTAGTATTAGTTTATATCAGTTTGAATTGTTGAAGGGAAAGAAGTTTTCATTTTAGGAAAGAGGTCAAATTATTTGAGATGGACCAATGGGGAAAGGAAGTCAGGTTTATTGGGGGCAGAGGGAGTAGTTCACCTTCATGCTGCGGTCATTCTGCCAAGTCAGGTGCTATTCCATTGAGATCTACTCTCGCAATATTTATCTTTTTTGATGTTTACTCGGTTCTGATTTTAGATGGCAAAATCAATAAAAGAACTCAAGAAGGAGAATGTTTTCTTGAAGGGCAAATGTGACAAGACAGATGTTACTCTCATTGAACTCGCTGAGGAGGTAATACTGTCTCTATCACTCCTAACTCTCTTTAAAGAAAGGAAATTACTCAGTTGTCTTTGGTTGCTTATTCCTATTGTTAGTTGTCTGCAAGTGATGATGCAAAACTGGTGCAGCAGACAGATAAAGGAACACTAAGCAACATCGAGTATATGATATCCAGAGTAGACTAGATTTTCCATGAAAATCAAGTCGTATAGCAACTTAAGACAATAAGCTGTTTTTCCTCTAACATCACAACTGTGGTTACTGAAACTCTAGATTTCTTAAGTTTTAATGCTCCAAGTAAAGCAATCTACTGTAAGTTTCCTAATATATGCATGTTATAATCGCAAAACTGGAAACGCTATAATAACCCTTGAAAGTAGCATTATGAAACAACATAGAAAAGCTTTAAAGATAACTGGTTCACCTTTAAGGTCCAAATTGATATTCTGCATATCACTGACTTTACTTAATATGAACCACTTGAAATTAAGGTTCGAATTGACGTTCTTCAGATTGCTGATTTTTGATAATACAAATGTATACTTTTAACTCATTATTTTGAGTGCTGGTTTCTTTCCCCCAACAGTACTTACGACTCCTATCCGTTGTACTGCTGGTTTCTTTTGTTAATTACTTCCTCTATTTCAATTTACACGACACACTTCCATTTCGGGGCGGTCCAAAACGTTTGACCACATTCCATTTCTATCCAACTTTCACAATTTTCAGAATTCAAATCCTTTAAATTATTTCAAAATTTAAACTTTGATACGATCTTTTTCTCTATCAAATTAACTATTCAACCATTACTTTACTATTTTCTTCCACTACACTTATCTCATGCATAAGTCAAAGTTAAAATCTTAAACTCTGTGCCAAGTTAAACTCTGAAAAAGAGAGTAATGTATTTGTGGTATTTTTATGTTTAATGATACTAAAGGGGTGCCTCCCTGTACAATTACCAGCATGAGGGTCCGTAAACAAATGATTCATTCGCATAAAGTTAGCTCTAATAAAAACTGAAGATTGGTAAAATAAGGAAATTTCTCCATGTGCCTGATCAGGGTTGTGCGTTGAAGTGGGATTTAACTATTTAAATGTATGCAATGACATCTACATCCCTGAAAAGCTCTATTGTTCCTTTCCATAGTGTAAACTAGAAGTCATAGTAGAATGTGTAGGAAGTCCAAAATCAAACTAGTACAAGATGCTTATTTGTTCATATGTTATTAGTAATAGTTATTACTAACTCTTTTCTGAACGGTAATACATGTTTTCGCCATTTTTGAAACTGTTAAACCATCTACCAAAAAATCATGATTTTTTTTGCAATATGCTTCACACAATCTATCTGCTGTCTTTTCTCTGTGTTGATCTTTGTTGAAACCATGAAGCTTGTTAACTGTTGTCCTCGTAGCCCAGGTCAATATTGCCATACTACTCTGTTCATGTGATAGCATGCCGTTTCATGACATTTCTGTTTCATCGAGAGCTTCTTATCATGAATTAACATTATCTTTTTCCATTATATGGCTTGATGCTCAAATCATGTAGGTGTAGTAGAGCTCTGTTTTCACAGTAGGAATATTGAACTATCTTGATTTTTCTGCAGCGTGAACATTTAAAGAAACAATTGGAGAAAACAAGGAACCAGAAAGAAAAGCTTGAAACATTGTGTAGGTCGCTTCAAGCAGAAAGGAAAGCGCATTCAACAGCTTCCAGCGGCTCAGATTCAGTTCAAGCTTGAAGATTTCTGTAAATTAATTCATAATAAGGATTTTGGCTGCACGTAAACATCAAAAGATGATTTGCCTGATTCACTGTTTTGTTTCCGCTGCATTTTTATCCTTGCTAGTGTTTCTGTATTTCTCGAAAGCATTTAATTTTGCTACTCCATTAACTTAGTTCCAAGTGCCAGTAGATTCTGTGATGGGCGAATTAAAGAACAGAATGCTATTCGAGTCATGGGCGAATTACAGTGTGTATGCTGTGCGCTTCGAGTTAGGATCCTACTAACCATCGTAATTGTTGCTAGTATTGCAATGATGTTCTGTACAACTTTCTACTATCTGCTCTCTTAATTTCTTATTTTGTGGAATTATATTTAATGTGTGGTTGTCTTGCATTATTCTAACCTGCATTTTCATGAAATCTATGCATATTTAGTGTAAAGTAGGGCAAAATGGAAGAAAGAATCCTTATGGATAATGCCGTTAGGTGGTATCGTTATCGTCATATTGGCATTATGCTTGGTGTTTGTTAGAAATTTGTATTTTAGTAAAAAATGCGAAGGACATCTGGTGTTAAAGAATGTAAGTTCTCAAATATTAGATTGATAAGCTATATGTTTGGTGGATTTATATTTACAGATACTGCTGTACGAACATCAAGACTCTGGAAATCTCACTCGTAGACTTGTTGAAGTAGTTCAATATATTATTGTATGTTGGAATAGATTGTGCCACTGTAAAGTCTTTGTTAATTTCTATAACTAGCTCCGGCCAAAATTCAAGTTTAAGAATGTAATGTAATTAAACTCGAGCTACATGGGATTATTTGAGTGGAACAAGATATTGGAATGCTTGGGGATAGTTTCTTTATCAATGGTTGAGTATTGAATTAATGAGAATAAGTAAGTTGTTAAACTCACTGGAAAAAATATTATATTATGAGAAGTGAGTATTTGGATTTATATGCATTGAGAAATACAGAGGAATTTAGGAACAATTAGGAATTTGATTATGAAGCTTTGGAAAATTGAATGAGAAAGTAATGGAATCAAATGAAATTAGTTGTCTGCTAAACAAAAGAAATAGGAGCCAAGGAGACAGAGATATTGAAGTATTTGCTGCTGAAATATAATATTTAGTTTTGAGTCAATAAATACGTCGATAATATTTCGCAAATAAATTATCTCTTGAACTTCAAGTTCACATTTTCTTATACGAAGAATCGAGGATCTAAATAAATCATTTCATGTATAACTTATTCTCGTCCCCTAATGTTGAACCACCAAAACACATCTCCACCTTCTTTGGACTCATATTCGTGTATTGTGGTGGTAGAGCAATCAAATTTTCTACAGATAAACTGGTGTAATCATTTTAAAATATAGCATGGCATGGGAGGGCTTCTACTCTCCCTTGCAATCAAAGAAACATGGTATCCATAACCTTGGTACCATATCCTAGAATCTGTAGCACTGGAAAACAGAGCACAACTATTTGTGTATCTGGTTAGTTAGTCAAATTTCAAAATTATTTATCACCTAGAACTTGATAAACAATCATAATTTTATAATTTGAATATGTGCTATAATAATTTGAGCAAATAACCTTACAAAAATCACATTACAAGCTGCTAACAAATGCACATGTGACTATATATATATATATATAGATTTATATTTAAAATCATATAATAGTAAACAGTTCACATGACAGGTGATTGGAGCTATATACGTATCAACGTTCAGGCGTTTCAAAAATCAGAGGATACAATCTTAACCTTAGCCGGTATAGTTATCAATTTATCATGAAGATAAGCTACACAAGAGAATTCGTGAGGAATCTTATATTTTTTTAATATATGCTAATGTGAATTCTAATTTATTTGCGCATCTTATCGAACCGGGATGGCTGGATAACTACGGAATATTGACGCATTTTACACTCCTTCATGCTTAAGTTTTGATTAAAAAATGTGTTACAAAATAGTCCCAATGGCTCACAAGTTGTGCTGATTGCAGGTTTGATCAACAAGGTGACAAGGTGTCAAAGATCAGCTCAAAAAAGAGTGAAACTTGCCACAAGTACACAAGACAAGACAAAAGTTCAGGCAAAAAACAGGGGCCAGTGCGGCCGCACACCATTCTGTGCGGTCTGCACAAGTGAGGTTCAAGAGGCTGACATTCAGGAAAACGGCTTACCGCATGAGGTTTTGTGCGGTCCGCACTAGGATCAATGCGGCCGCACTTGATTTTAGTGCGGTCCGCAGAGAGATGATTCAGAGAGTTGCCCAAGTCCAAGGTTGAAGACCAATGCGGTCCGCGCTCCATTTCATGCGGACCGCATTAGAGAACCACCCGCGGCGGCACTCGATTCTATGCAGTCCGCATTGCCCAAGTTCAGAGAGTAGTTTAGTCAAGTTCAGAGCCTTAGTGCGGCCGCACGTGATTTTGTGCTGTCCGCACTAACCCCGCAGGGGTATTTTTGTCCAGATTTGTCAGCTTACTATAAATAGTTTCTTTTCCATTTTTTGGTCAAGCAGATAGTTAGTAAGTTAGTACTGAAAGCTGCCGCTCGTGGGTTTGTTTCTTTTGCTGTTTTGAGTAATTTTAGCTTCGTTTCATCATTGAATCTTTAAGTTTATTTTAGCAATTAATTAATATGAGTTTTTCTTCATCTATTTCTTTGTTTTTCTCTTTAATTATGAGTAGCTAGACCCATCAGCTAGGGTTGTGGCTTAACCTAGTGTGGGTAATTGATGGGTCTTGTGTTTTAGAGCTTGATTGACTATAGGTGTTTGATATTTGGGCTAATTCCATGTTTAATTGCTAAATTAGTGGTTGCAAACACTAGTTTGTGTTTAATTGACTTTTGCTCTTCTTGAGAAAGAGAGCCTAAGTATCTAGAATTAGGGCGTACTCAAGAGAATTAATAGCCCCAATTAAAGGGTTAAACCGAGAGATCGTAATACCCGACTTGACCCTTAATTGCTTGTGCAAATTNGCCCCTGGGCTTGTAGGAAAAGCTCAACCATTTCTTCTTCACCAATCGGGGGACTTACCCGAGCAGCTTGTTCCCTCCATCTGAGCCCAAACTCCCTAAAACTTTCCTTCGATTTCTTTTCCATCTTAGATAGGGAGGAGCGGTCTGGGATAATGTCTAGATTGTACTGAAAGTGTCGAACAAAATCTTGAGCCATGTCATCCCATGCGTGCCACTTATTGACATCTTGATGAGTATACCATTCCAAGGCTGCCCCAGTCAAGCTCTCACTGAAATACGCCATCAACAAATCATATTTCCCGCCAACACTTCTCATTTCACTGCAATAACCCCTCAGATGGGCTACTAGATCTCCACGCCCATCATACAAGTTAAACTTTGACGTTTTAAATTCCGCGGGCAGATGAACACCAGGGAACATACATAAGTCATTGTAAGACATGTTAATCTGATTTCTCATCCCTTGCATTTTCTTTAAGGACTGTTCTATGCCTTTCAACTTTCTGGATATTTCATTCTGCCCTTCTTTTCCTGAAGACATTTCATTTTCAACATAATGCTCATTTTGAGGGTTACAATTATACGAGTTCGGGACCTGGTGGGCCAACTTTGGAGAGTAGTATTGGGCATCATGAGGTTTAAACTGGTATTCACTGTTGGATCTAAGGAGGGATTGTTGAGAGGTTGTGATGGTGGAGGTAGTGGATATGACAGGAGGGCTATTTTTTGGAAAGGTAGTTGGAGGACGAATGATGGAGCTATTAGGGAGGTTGGGAAAGCTGTGATAAGCGGGAGAATCTAGAGAATATGGGGGATCATCTGGCACTATAACCGGAGTTTGGGTAAGGGTAGCATCTAGGAAGCTAGGTGGCGGCGGGAGTGGTGCCTTCCCAGTCATCCAAGCCCGATACATGTCCGCCATGTGTTGTCTTAACATCCTTACCTCTTCAAATTGTCCTGTTCAACCAATTGCTTTTGGGCACCAGTATCAACCGACTCGATTCTGTTGTCATCTGCCATTGCCCTTTGACATTATGTTGTAGAGAAGAGTTACCACTTTAAGAACCGCAAACCAACCACCTTTCTGCTTTAATGAAGATAACAAAGAGGGACAAGATGAAGTCATCACGTTAGCGTTAGGGCATTTAACATAAGATAATCTCACATTATGTGCAATGCACCTAGTCACAGTTATTGGTTCTAAAATGACTTCGAGGGTATGAAGGTCATATGGCATCATCCCAATATCACTCTTCTTACCCCATTTCTCTCTTCATTTTTCTTTCTAACACCACTTGGTTTCTCATTTCTTTCCCCCTCTTTTCTTTCTTCTCATTTCTCACGTCCCACAACTTCATTCTCTTTTTCTCTTTTTTTTTTCTTTTTTTCCCTCCCTTTTTTTTAAACTTTTAAACATGATCTGATTGAACCCTATATAAGTTGCCTACATATCATGTCCCTCATGAATCAGATCAAGCGTAGTTCTGGAGAAGATAATGGACAAATAAACTAAAAATAAAAATCTTTTTGAATTTTTCATTTATAACTTTTTTTTGGTTCAAATACAAAACAGGAAGTGCTATAATAAAAGACTCGACAATCTTAACTAAACTGACAGACTCGATACTACTGTACAAGACTAATAATTAAAAGACAACATAAAATAGACTAAAAAATAGAAAGCTTCCTCAGGTAGCTCGTGCATGCTCAAACCCTAGCAGATTGATCCATACCTGAATGGGAAAAATAAGATCAAATAGAGTTAGTGACTCAAGACACATATGACGCCACGACACCTTCTATACATTCCTAGTGCTTGATAAGCAGTTTCTTATAGGTATATGTCTTATTCCAAGATTGGAACTGCAGTTTGTGTTCTTAGAGGTATCAAATTATAGACAATAACCAAATTGTTCAATGGAAATGGATTATGTTTCTAATTAAGCTGCTATAGTGTTTGTCATGAAAACGTTGGAAAGAATAAACATTATAAAAACTTATTTGTTCTACTCTTAGCAGGAAGCTTTGCTGAAAGAGCAAGTGAGGTTTTTGAAACGTTCAAGCAAGATATTGAGAAGTTTTTACTTCCATTTTTCTCTTCACTTGATATTCAATTTCCCCAGTCCATACTCCGTCCTGATTTAGGGGTGTCAAAATGGACGGGTGTGGCTAATTTTGGGCGGGTCAAATGGGCCGAGTCATTGACCGCCCCAAAAGTAACAAATGGACTGGGTCAAGTTTGGCTAAAATTTGGGTCATAACACCCAACCCGCCCAACTCTTACCAAAGCTTTAATTAAATGTGTATTGTTCTCTTTAAATTGTTTAATAATTGAAAAAGACTCTTTTTTCTTTTGTTATGGGTCATATAT